GCCGAAAGCCCGTTTCGGGCCGGTGGCGACACCAAGGACCACTCCCACAAGTACTAAACGTGATTACCTAGTTTGAAAACACTAAGGAGAGATGGAAATGCACCAAAGGCACTTCAAGACACTCCTAAAGGCCTTGTACAAATGAAATGAAAACTAACAAGAAATGAAATGCAAATTTATAACAAATGAAATGTTGTGGCTGCACCAAAATTGAAAACAAAATTCAGCCACAAATTAGTGACAGATTTAGAGACGGATTTAGTGATGGAAACTTTTGTGACAAAAAATTTTTGTCTCTAAATTGGTCACTAATTGCTTAATTTTCACAAATTTTCTTGAAATATTTTCTTTGGCTCCTTCACTTCTAGTCCAGACTAGTGTTTCACTCCTCTCTTAGAAATAACCTTGATGTTGGTTATTTCTAGGTGTTTAGTCTTCCAAAGATTTCCTCCAATGGAGAAGCAAGGACTCCTAGGCCACCACAAACATTCCAATGGGCTACCTTTGTAGCTTGGCCTTCCACACCTTCAAGAAGCACTCAACACACCTTAAATTGCTGGAATATATGGTAAAAACTAAAAAGGAACAATTAACAAAAGCCACACCAAATGGTAGATTTTAAATGAGACAAAACAAGAAGGAATTCCAATGAAAGACAAGCAACAATTAAGGCACCAAAGAAAGGCTAACACATCAAAGTGAGTCCTATCAATGGTTCTAGAATGGATTACCAAAATAAAATCTAAGATTACAATAAAAAAATAAGACACAATCTCAAGTGGTTTATGGCTGGACAATTTTTAGAAATAAGCAACAAATTGCAAATCCGAGAGCAACTTATAGAAAAATTTTCTACTCCTTTGGCTTTTTCTTGTATTCTTTCTTTTGTTTTCTTTTAGCAATTTCATTTCACTTTCTTTTTCCTTTAATCACAGGAGTTTCATGCCTTTTTCCAACACTTATGAGCCTCGAATTTGGTAATAAAAAGATTGCTAAACAATTTATACAAACAAGAGGTATATAGGTGTGTGTGTGTTACAAGTGCTCACACTTTAGCACCAAAATTTTAATCAATTTTTAGGCATACTTTTTCTTTGATTTTCTTGCACTTTAAAATACCTAATACCTCTATTTTCCTTTGTTTTAAAAACTTCCAAAATAAGCACAAATTTCAGCCATGCAAGAGATTCAAGGAAATCCTAAGGAAACAAGTAGTATAGGCAAAAAAAAATTTGACAAACTTTTAATGAGACATTAAGGAAACCTAACTTTAAGAAATTTGCTAGAACTAATAAAAAATCAAGAACTCAAATATGCAAAACAAAATCATATATAGGTTAGGTAAAAAGAGTATATAAAATGCACAAATCGAATGGACCAAAAAATAAGACAAAACAAAGGTTAAACAAGCTATTATAGGAATCAATGACAAGTAAAGGACTAAACATGACTCTACACAAAACTTTCATGATTATAAACCAAAAACACAAGTTATTCAATGTTATAATCCAATCACGGATTCATGTTAAGGAATAGGAGATACTCAACAAAATAAAAATGCACAAGTTCAAGGAAACCTAAAGCACAAAACCAGATTGATTCAAGAGTAAAGGAACAAGCAACACAATGAATCAATCAATCTCATGAGACAAGTGGATCCATCAAAATTTGTAGAAAATCTAGATCCATACAGTAAACACAAGAATGAAAAGCAAAGGAATATGAGACAACACGGATTTAGTTTTAGAGACAATAACACATAACCTCGAGAGCACCAAGGCTCTAGATACCAAAAATGATGGAACCAAATAGTAGAAGTGGTTGATAACTTTTCCTAGACTCCATCTTCAAGTCCTTCTTCTCTCGAGGTAGACTTTAATGGCAGAAGCAATGTAGAAACTCCATTGATGGAAGATGCAACAAGATGCATTTGGTAGCTTCTAGAAGAAATATGTGACCGAGGCACAAAGGAGGAAATCCTTTGTGAGGAACCTAGGGAGAAAAGGTTTCTCCAAGGATTCTATGGCTTTGGAAGAGAGAATTTTAGAGAGAAAATTCCAAGTTTATTCATCCAAAGTGGGTAAAAATGAGAGGTTTACAAATATATAGAAAGAGGTAGCTTAAGGAGCAAGCTAACCTTAACCATGGTTCAAGAGAACCATGGTTTGGTTGCTTGACCGACCAACCTAGTTTAGCAGGCTTGTGGAGCAAGCTTCTATCTTAGCTTGCTTGGGAAACAAGCTAAGTTAGAAACTTGTAGCACAAGCTTCCCAAAGCTTTAAGGAAGAAGAGAAGCAATTCGGCCAAGATGAAGCTTGGCAGCCTTAAGCCAGTTTTGCTCACTAAATCTGTTCCAAAAATGTTTGATTTGGTTTAATTAGGTCCATCCAAAAATGATGAGACCTAGCTAAATCAAATCCTTGAAAAATTAGGAGCAAAATAAGTCTAATATGTAAAATTTTGCCTAGGCCCAATTTTGGCCTGTCACAACCCAGATTTTTCCGATCTTGCGACTAATGGTTTAGACATCTTTTTAAAGATCTCATTAATTAAGGAATGCCCGGACACTAGACTAATCCTTAATTAATGGTTTTGAAAATAGGTTCTATGGAGTCGCCACCAATGTTTTACTCAAAAACATTGGAAAAATAAAAGGTTTTTTAAAAGTTCAATAATGGCCTTGATAACCAGAATTGGGTTCGGGGGTCGGTTACGTGTAAGGAAGGTATTAAGCACCC